GGGCCCAGGTGTATTGGGGGCCCGCCGAGCCGAGGGGGAACCTTTAGGCTAATTGAAACGTAGGAATGAATAGAGCCTGCATGGGCCTGGCCCTTCCGACAGCATATCAGAATTCTCGGTCTGAGCCTGACACAAGCCAGTGTCTTTTTTCTCTCTCTCTCTTTCTTCCCCTTTACACAGCTGCTGTTGCAGAAAATAGGCTAGTCCAGTTTTGGTTTTTAATGGCAAAGTGGTTATATTTCTTTTTGTTTCTTTATTAAGTTAATTTAGAAATATGTTTGAAACATTTTATGTTTGTTAAATTCAAGTTGTTGTTTTTTTAAGTAAGGACCAAGCGGCCAGCGGCGGACTGTTGAGCATATATGTTTGATCAATTTAGCCTTCTCAAATCAACATGACTTCTGAGTTGAGCATATGTTTGACCTTCTCAAATCAACACGACTTGCCTAAAATAAAATCTATACACATAAAACATTTCATGCAATTCACAATATTAATAAAAAAATTTAACCTAGATAAATGTGTGCTGTTAGACGCATATACAGTCGTTTGTGTGGAGAGTGGAAGCTGAAGCGCGCTTTGCAGGACATGGAGGCGCCAGCGCGATCACTTTCATTTTTTTCTTAAGAGTGGAATCTTAACATACGCCGTAATTTTTGCTCATAAAGGTAAGAGTAATACATCATTCGGAATTGTAACGGGTCTACTTTTATTTGTGTGCACTCACAATATCATCAAAAACCTGTGCTTTTGTAAAATAAGGAAAACAAACAGGATGCGCTTTCTGTCATCTTGGTCTAAATAAGATTAACGTTAAAGTTAATGTGAAAATTCCACCTATACTCCGCCAAAAATAAAATAAATAAATAAAAAGTCTGTGGCATCCAACCTGTCATTCTTAACAGTTAACATGAAAAACAGCAATAAAACGTAGGCTTTTTGACGTTTTTTGAAACTCTAATTGATCGATTTCATGAAACATTCGTTTGTATGTTTGTATTTGTCTGATTTTTTCAACATGCATTCAAATATTTATTCGTTTATTTCGTGCTGCAAATATTAAAGAGGAAAATATCATTGATTCACATGCTGCTTTAAATCTTAAACTACAAATTTAAGAGCGTAAAAACACATTTATTGTTTGTAGTATTTTATTATAAAGTTGACAGAAGGCTGACACTTTGTGTTTTAATATAAGTAACAAAGCAAAAAGCTTATTGCAATTATTGGGTGGCTTGCGTGCTACAAATGATTAATGGACTTGAAAACGTTAAATATTATTTCCAAGCATTTATACCGTAAATAAAACTTAAATAACCTTAAATAAAAATTGTGAATACACGTAACGTTAATCACTTCAGAAAAATCAACAATAAGTTAACCAAGTTGGAGCTAATAACGTTGTGTGTATGTGTGTGTGTGTGTGTGTGTGTGTAAAATTTCTTATAATAACAGTTCTTACTTGGCCTCAAACATCCTTTCCAGCAAGGATTCAGCTACTGCCTTCTCCTTCATCTCCATAGGGATGCGGTCGGTTGGACGATGGGATTCCACGTCATTTAGTTCATGCTCATTGGGAGTCATTCCCATCATCCTCTTCTGCCTAATGCGGGAAACAAGTAAAAGGTAGACAGGTATGGTAATCGAGCACCAGGGATAGATGAGTACTTGTTAACAGGGCCTGACATTTAGCTTTTCCAAGACTTTACAAAAATGTAATCTTATATGTAAACATAATGTGCATTGTGAATGCAAAGTGCTCCAGGTTCACTTTATTTTGATATATACTTGCGGCCCCGTGACTCTCACCTGAAGTCATCCAGCTGCCGCAGTATCTCTGGACTCTGCATGAACTGTATTTCATAAGCAAAGCGTTTTTGTTGTTCTTCGTTAATAATTTCTGGACGCATGCGATCTGAAGGACCACAGTGAGAGAGATAAATAGATTTAATGTAACTACGGCAATAATACAATATTAACATTAAGTGCAGTGATCTGATTTCACTCACCCAGTTCAGAGGCTAGGTTATTTGGCATAGATACTTTAAGAATCTGGAAGACAGAATAAACAAATAAAGGATAATAATAAACAAATTACAGTTAACTCTAGGTTTTATTTCAAACAAATAAGTATGGAGGACATTATAAAATATAAGCTAAAACTTTTATATTGTCCTCCAGTGTTAGATGTAATGCAGTACAGCACCACCAGAGGTCACAACAATATAAATAACCAGAGAACTACTTTCTTCCATTTCATTTTCAGCTCAGTCCACAGGTCCATAGCCTTAATATCAACTGAAAATGTGTACAGAGAGAGAAATATTCAATAGGAAAAGAAAGACTAAACATACAAATAAAACATGAAAAGGGGAGAAAAAAAGCAGTCATTGATCAGGGGAGGTCATTCCCATGACCCAAAGCAGGAAGTCAGGGTCAGACAAACAGAGAAAAAAGAGAGACAGAGAAAGAGAACATGTCTAAAAGAGGGGTAAATAATGCAGAAAAAAGTTACATTGGACAGAAGGGGCAGGCAGACAGACTGGAGGGAAAAGACAAAAACTTCAAACAATGAAATCAAGTCTAAACAGAAACAGATTGGGGAGAAACAGACGAAATGACCTGATAAATCATATAAAATTGAAAGAAATAACTGAGTAACATACTGTCCATTTCTAATTGCATCTAATGACAGTCAGAAAGAACCATAAATCTCACCCATAGCAAATATGACATGAAAAAGCACAGAAATAAGAACTACATTCAATCCCATTAATGTAATTAAAAACAGCCTAACTTTACAAAGATTTCAGTCATTTTAATGCAAATTTCAAGCTATGATACAACTTTATTGGTCTAAAATCATTTTAAACAGCTTTCTAATTAATTGAGGTTACATGGAACATTTGTACTTTTAAAAACATATTTTTAAAATTTTGTTTTTATGATTCATAATTTTTTTGAAAACTCTTAATGATAAAAAGCCGTCCATGGACATGTGAGGGTTATGCATCAACTACCATTCTGCATTTTTATTTCACCAGAAATGTCTTTACAAATCTCTTTTGTTTTTTTCGTACTTGCTGCACTTGTCTTTTTATTTGTTCCGTGTGTATTTTCTTATTAATCTGCCTCATTATTTCAGAAAACAATATACTAAAACATTAGACAGCTTTCTTCACTTTGAAAGAAAACGAGCTCAAAGATAAGATTGACGGACAGCAGATCACCTGTGTGATAAATAAAATACAGCTTCAAAAAAAAAAATCCCCAGCATTCCTTTAGGGGGTCTAACAAAATCATAGACAATAAAATGAGGGGTGGACTGAAAAGTGTGACAGAACAGAGAGGCAGACTTGTAAAGTGATAAACAAACTTGACAGCCGAATGTCTAGAACCCTTCTTGTTCACATACCGCTCCTTTTTCCAAGAAATTGTTGTAGAATTCCCCAAAGTGCTTCTTGGTGTCTTTGGCATTGAAGTTCTTGAAGAGGTCAGCATGAAGGTAGCATAGCTAAGACAAGGGGAAAAGAAAGAGAGAGAGATCGAGTGAGGGAGATTAAAGAAAGACAAGTGTAACAAACCTGACAGATTTAGACACCAAGAATATAGGGATAGTAATACATGCTAGGTTAACCTAGAAGTTGGCTTTATTGACTGAATGGAGAAGCAACTAAACATTTCAAAATTTCAGAGACTTTTTCAGAGCACATGCTGACCAGTGAGAAAAGAGTATTAGGAGGGATGACAGGGACAAATGGACCAATCGAAAATTAATGAACACAACATAGTACCTGTTGGATTTAAAAGCAAACATAACTTGTCAAACTCAATATTATATTAAAGGAAAACAATATAGGGTAAGATGTCCACCTTCATTTTATTTTTCCCTTGACCACAGATATCACTAAATCAAATTGAATGAATGGTTATGCTCTAAATAATTTACATTTTTCTGAAAATCAACATCTGTGAGATTTATCCTATCTGAACAGTTCTGAAGTTAAATGAAGAAAGAGATGAAGGATTTGGGATTTGCGAGACGGTACCTGGGGTTGACCGCATTGGCTGCATGCCAAATAAAGGAAGAAATACTCATGCTTTAAATCACATCTAAATACATGACACACCCACCCCCAAAACACACAACATTCATAGCTGAACAAGAGGTAATGTAAGAAACACACTGAGCCTCACATAGTAAAGTAAATGCATGCATGCATTGCGCACTGATAAAAATAAACAGCCACACATCGTTTAAGTTCTTACCACAGGAGCACAGTCAAACTGTAACATGACATGATGAATGAAGACCAGTAGGTGGGTGGGCCTGGACTTCAACAGCTCAATACTGTTAAAGTGACTGCACTGATCATCCACCATCTGAGAAAAAAAGTGATTACAGAAATAAAAAGTAATAATAATAATAAATGGGAAGATTTTTTAAATGTTTCTGAAAGACGTCTCTTATACTCACAAAGTCAACATTTATTTGATCAAAAATACGAACACAGCAATAATTTAATTTATAACTGTTTTCCATTGTATTTTATTCTAAGTGTCATTTAAGTGTAAAAAATGTTTATTTATTCCTTTGATGGCAAAGCTAAATTTTCATCAGCCATTACTCCAGTCTTCAGTGTCACATGATCTTTCAGAAATCAATCATTCTGATATGCTGATTTGCTGCTCAGGCAACATTTCTTATTATCAAAATATCAGGATAATTTGATAAATAGAAGGTTCAAGAGTACAGCATTCATTTAAATTATATATCATTTTTTTACATTTTATATTTCTTTACTTTGAACAATTTAATGCAAACTTGCTGAAAAGTATGCATTTTCTTCCAAGCAAAAAAACAAAACAAATTTGAATGGTAGTGTACAGTATATAATCCTAATATTTTTATATAACTAATTGTTTAAGGCTTGTGAGCATTTGAAGTTAAGGACCAGGGTTTTGTTGATGCATGCTGTTACAAAATTGTTTTAGTATACCATTTTATTTAATACATTTACAAATTATTGCATTGCATTTATGCCAAATCTGTACTGCACTATAACATTAAGAACTGCATGAAATATATTTCTAAACACTTATATCTGCTTAAATTAGAAATATAAATGAAAAGGAATTATTCCAAATATTTCTACCTCAAAGATTCTAAAAGAATCATTAAGGAACAGGAATATTCACTATTTCCATCCATACTAGTTCTGAGCTAAAGTATAACTCACAGGTTGCTCATCATTTTCAAAGTCTTCATCCTCTGCTCCAATTATGTTCATGGCTGGATTTGAACACTGAGCACCTGACGGCCCGCGCTGTCGAGAGACAAAGAAGAGATGAAGAAAGCATTAACAGACATAATCTTGTAAAACGATGTTTGCAGGTTCATGCTTTTTAGATTAGTAGACAGAGTTTCATTACAGGACAATAAGGATGACTTGATGGCCCGGGGTCAGGCTTCAATATTCCACAGTAGGAAAATGTACGAACAAATTCAATAAAGAGGTTAAAGTTTTGTTTGTTAAATAAAAAAAAAAACATTGCAGCCAATGACACAATACAGTTCTTTCCACAATACAAAAATGATCATGGATTAAAAACAAAGCCCTTAACAAATGTTACATGCTATGTGTAACATTATACTGCCATTATCTGATAAATTAAAATCAAAAGAGAAAACAGTGAGTAGCTGCCACAAATATTCTGACTTGAGGCTAAACTTAAAAATTCATGCTCTGAACCGGAGCTCAGGGAGCCAAGAAGAACATTTAAACACGGAGGAGAGTGACTGAATATTCATACTCCAGCACCTAAATGAAGTGCATTCTTTCACACGAGATAACACTGTGATCATATTTCTATTTCTTTCTACCCGTTGATAAAAAAAAAACTAAAATTCAATCAGAGGAATATTCCATAGACCAGTCCAATGAATCTTGGCCACTGGCTGTAAATGCAACAGCGTTCTACTGTGAGAGCTGCTGAGAACAAATTTCCTGTCGCTGTTGTGCAATAAGAACTCAGTGGAAAGAAGCTGAAAATCCATGTGCAAGCCGAACTCCAGCAATTCAACAGACTAACAGTGTTTATTTTAGTAGAAACAAACAAGCAATTGTGACGAATACTACAAGCACAAATCGAGCTAGTGTTTTCTCTGTGAAAACGTTTTAATCTCAGATAAAATGTGCGTGTGTTTCCTAAACATTTAAAGGATAGTTCAGTGAAAATTTAATGTTGTTATCATTTACTCACTCTCATGTCGCTCCAAACCTGTACGACCTGTCTCAGATAGCAAGTCATACAGGTTTTGAAAAACATGAGGGTGAACAAATGATGACAGAACGTAAATTTTTAGGTGAACTATCACTTTAAGCAGAGAGAGAGATACAAAACAGTCAACACAGATCAACATCATGTCAGAGCAAATCACAGCAGTGGTGTTTTGTTCCTGAATGAATTAGTGGTTTTGAACAAAGCAGTTGAATTAATGATTCATAAACGCGTCACTTGTTGCCATCTAGCATAAAACAGAAAGCAGAAAGATTCACTGCAGAGATTGTCCATGATAGTGTCTCATAACTCCGCTATGTTTACCAGTGTACGGCCCAGACTCTGCTAGACCACCTTCGGGTTGGTGAGAACATGGAGGAGTGTAAACTCATGGCAAAAGACACTCTGAGACGAGTCAGCTGTGCCACCCCACCTACTACAGCACATTCCTGATTTTATTACACATCCAGAAACATTTGTGTCTTGGCAGCTGTACTGTCTGACCGTGTATGCCATTGTGTATTAGTTCATTCATTGTCTTTAATAAGATGTGATTTTAATCTCATTACACAAATAAAAACTCTTTTATTACCCTTCAATAATATACATTTCATATACATATGACTTCAATAAACACATATTTTTGTGTTTATTGTTAAACAAATGTACCTATTAGATTTCACGTTAATATTTCTGATTCTACCATGTCCCAGTAAGTCAGTTATGTGAACATAAAACAGTGTTATATTATAAAAATATAACATATTTAACAAATTAAATAATTAGCATTTACTAACTACTACTAAATAATAAATTGCAATTACAATATATATTATTTAAATTATTAAATAAAACGTAATTTCCAAGCACATTGTACTAAATTTGTACCAAAGCCAAAACAAATTAAATAAATTAAATTCAAATAACTAAATGTATTTATTTATTTATGTTTATCAGCAACAATGGCTATATTCATGGCAACATTAAAAATATAATTTCAATACATCATTTACAATAATATAAAATTTTCTTAAGAAACAATCATTATACAAAAACATACAAGAAACAACAATAGTACTGATAAAAATCATATACAATCTTTCAGTTTAATCGGTGATAAAAATTCAAAAATTCTTCCAGGAGAGACTAAAAAAAAATAAATTAAAAAAAGTATTTTACTTTAGTAATAAAAAAAATACATAATTATATTTAATTGTAATGTATTAAAATAACACATTTAATAATATCATTGTATATAAAAAATATATTAACTTTATTAATTAATACATTTTTTTCTTACACTTTTTTTTTTCCTGTGAAAATATTCTGCTTCCCAGGCGCATTGTACAAAATTTGTAATAATCAGAAATACATGTAATTATAGTTAGTTGTATTATATTAAACACTAAATTAAAAACTAAATTAATAATAATAAAACTGTAATTACTATTTAAAAAAACGTATAATTAAAATAATGAATAAATTAAAAATAATTTTTACAAATTTTTTCTGTGAAATTTTCCACAAACTCCCAAGCACCCCCTTGAGGCCTCCTGAAAACCCCCTTGAAAATTCATGCTCTAGTTGGTTTTGTAATAATGTTGGAAACTGTGACTACGCCATCTCTGTTACCAAATCAGGAGCAGGCCCCTTATAAGAACATCAAGAATGAATGGAAACAAACAAACACTGGCAGCTTCAGATGCCTTTACCCCGTTATGTGTGTCTTCGCAATCCATGCTGTCGTAGGTCGCACCAACACCTGTAAACCGGGCTCCTGCAAAGACACAACATCATGAAAGCCTGGAATGGCATCCTTTGTCAACAAGACAAGCTAATACAAACACAAAGCGGAGCACATACAAACATACTGCCAGGAGCAAATCCAATTGGGCCATACGATAAAAGTATATAAAGCGGCGAACAACAACATCAAGATCAGCCAATAAATCAATAACAGACAGACCAATGTGGAAGAACTAGACCCAGATGCGGTCTACCAATAAAGATGGTTTTGAATGAATAATAGTGACTTCAGTTCTCAGCGGTCAAACGATCTAGAATTCAGTTTATTTGTTGTGTTCTTTCCTTATTATTCTCCACCTTTGGAATAATAGATATGATATCTTTACTGCAGGAGAGATTTGAAAAGGTTTGTTTGCTTCTTATGATCTAATCTCAATGAACATCAATTATGGCATTAATCGACTGCATTGAGTTTCGCAGTGAAAGTGCACTGACTTCTGGACAAAAAAAAAAGACAAAAAAAAAAAGGCAGATAGCTGGGGAATGCCTTTGCATACCAGACTACCGCATGCAACTGTTCAGACAATGGCCTTGTCCTCTGCACTGGAGCAGTACGATAGCACAGGCCTAAAATAACCGCTAATGGAGCTGTGTTTGTGTTCTGGTTTTATCAGCTGCTTTAATCAGCCATGTCTCTGAGATCTTCAAAGCTTTCCAAAGAGCAGCGTCTACAGTGCAAGCAAGCATAAAGAGAAAAGAGAGAGAGAGAGAGAGAGAGAAAGGAAGTGGGTGTGATTTCCTCAGGAAACGATCACAGCCATTTTTTGTCAACCTGTCTGCAAAAGTCATGTTCAGAGTATCAGAGAGCATAAAACAAAGGAAAAAGACAAGGAGGGACAAACACATACACAAGAGTATGACACATAAAAGCGTAAGGTGAAAAGATTGATGGCACTTTCCTCCACTCGGGTACTCTTTGGGGTCCCATTAGTGTTTCAATGCATTATAGATAGACATATGATGTTTTAATTTGTAGAGAGAACTTATATGTGCTCTTTATTTTCATCAAACATATGTTCCATGAAATATTATCAAATAAGCATGAAGAGAAGCAAGTCTGCAATACATAAATGTCTGTAAACCACATAAAATGGAGATTTCTGTCTTGCAGAGGTCTTGACCTCTTGAACTCTAACAATTAAAATAATACAAAAGACACTAAAATAATACAAAAGCTAAGCAGTTTTTTATTCAACTGATATTCAAATCATTTCAATTGATAAAATGTACATAAGAAGTTCATTACATTTTTAAGTAAATAATTTTTAATGACAGAAAATGACTGTTGTTGCTATATAATAATAAATAAATAAAGCAGAGTTTTAAACTATTTAGACAAGTATTAAGTTTAGAAAATAAATAAATATAATAAATAAATAAAACAACTCAAAACAAATATAATAACTTGTTTGACCTCCTGAAGTTGACAATTAAAATTTTCATCTCATCTGAGATGCTCACCTAACCTTTTTTTCTTTTTTAAAGAAAATGGGGGGGAAACTGCTAGTGATGATGCTTTCTCTCCATTTTCATGACATTGCCCTCATCTTTGTCACAAAGAGGAAACATCACAACATCAGCTGCATAATAACAATAACAATAAAAAGAGGAAGAGCTAGCAAGAAAAGCAACAACAGATTAAGTAATTCATGCATACATGTGATAACAGAGGAAAGCACATTTTATTTCACAGAAAACAAGTTAAGTGAGAACAGTGATGGAGGCTAAGAGAGACACTTAGAAAAAAAAGAAGTTGGTAAAAAACAGTGGAGAAAAAAAAGAAAAAGGTCATAACACTCTTCTAGACATTACAAGCACTACTGAGACAGGACTGTAAAAATGAACTTTCAGTATCATTCAGATTCCATGCTAAAATGCAATTTTGATAAATGACAACCTAAAAGACAACCTCAATAAATCATCTCAACAGCTGTCAAGATCAATCAGCATGCTTTAAACACAGACTTTCTTAAAGCAAGAGAGAGAGAATGATCTGCATGTTTCGCCAGAGACAGTGTTTCTTCTCAATTTAGTTGAGAATGAGAGTGTGGAGGCACTGGGGTGTTGCAGGTGGGGCTAATGAGGTCTATCGCCATCTCCTCAAAACTATGTAATGACTGCACTCTCTCTTTCTCTCTGGACTGTGCGGTATTTCAATACTGCAGGAGATTAGAGATCTCCGAGCTTCTCTCAGTTGCTCCAATAAGAGCAGAGGAAGGGTTGCGTACAGGCATGTGGCCTCACTGACCATGTGAGCATGAAGAGCAAAGTAAGATACAGTGAACAGGAAGAATAAACCATTTGAGAATGTTTCGAGTAAAGGACTGTAAGGATGTGTGACTGAGAGGTGTTAACCTCTAACATCACACAATTTCTTTGTTGGTATCTTCAGTAGCTTAGTTATTACTTTGGTCTTCAGTGTAACATAATCCTTAAGAAATCATTCTAATATGCTGATTTGGTGCTCAAGAAACATTTTCTTATTATTAGCAATGTTAAGATCAGTTGGGCTTCTTTTGTGGAAACTGTGATACATTTTTTTAGGATTCTCTGAAGAACAGAAAGTTTAAAAATATATATATCTTGTATTATAAATGTCTTTTCTGTCACTTTTGAACAATTTAATTAATCTTTGCTGAATAAAAGTATTATACACACACTAACTTGTTTTTATATCATTAGGATGACTTTCCATATATGTGTAATACTTTGTATACTGAACGAATCAACTAACACTACTACTAAACATAACCCTCACAGAAAAAAATAATAATTTAGTATGATCTATAGACTGTTTTCCTTGTGGGGCATATCAAGCATATCTACTACCAGTGCATTTTTAAAAGCATCTGTAATATTTGTGGCATCTGTACCATTAAAAGCACCTGTATAAGGAGGATGAATACGGTTCCCTGGCAAATATGTTTCACTTGTGATGGAAGGCAAAAAAAACAATTTTTTTTAAATTCCACCTGTTGAATGAGGTTGGCAAGCTTGTGAATTTTCCAATTGCATCCCTCCTTTAGTCCTACCCCTTTTCATCTTCTCATTTTCATTCATCCTCCACTTTTGTACAAACTCATGTAAAAACATCATATATATTCTAAAATGCCAACACCACCTTCCATATTAAATTGCTTTTAAAGTCAATAACATAACACTAATTTTTGTTGTCCTATCTATCAATTGCTTCAAATATACTCCACTTAAAAAAAATCCATACTTAATACATACAATGATTTTAATATTTATGATGAGCATGTTTTAAATGTCTTTATATATAATTCACTTTGATATTTTTTGTAAAAAAAAAAAAAACTTAAGTAGTCTGTCATAATCTTTTATTATTATTTCATAGACTAAAATAATAGAACTGCCTGTCAAATCAGTCATGTGTTGCAACACAACGCAGGAAATGATATCACAGAGAGGACCCCTGCAGGCTCTCATGACTTTGTGTATAGGTCTTAAAATATTAGATCATTTTAACTTATGACAAGGCATAAAAACTTAACCCTCATAAATTATGCAATTATATTTAGTTTATAATTTATGATATTTATAAATGTATACACCTTAGTAACCTTTTCTTAAATACAATGAAGATGCGTACACTCACATTATGTAAATTAGTTAAAATGGTGCAAGTAAAATATGTTATTACTTCTTACTTGATGGTTACACCACCAGTGTCAACAAATTTAAAATCTTGAAAATGGTACAAAAAAATGTAGACCAACATAGCTTTTTATTTATCATGCACTCTCTTGTATATCATTGACCCTTTTGCAAACATCTGCCAAAGTTATAATCAATTACATATGGTACTGTTAAGAGGTCACAATCAGAATGAGAATTACAAGCTCATAAGGACAGGGTCTGGGGTCTAAGCGGGGCACTACCATCCACTGAGTGCAAATGCTGGGCGAGTGGATCAACTGCACTCCAAACAGTGCTGCAGCAGCATTGATTGGTAGAAGCCATGGCAGCCTGCAATCTCCCTCTAACTGTTTCCAAATGTGGGCTGCGAGTCCAGTGAGTAATCAGCCCGCTTCAAACACAGAGCCCTTTGACTGCACACAAACCTGGCCTGTCCAGCTGCCCAACAGACCTCCTGCTCCACCACTGGCACGCCAACTGGGATTGAGTTTGTGTGTGTAATAAGTTAATGTCTGAGCATGCATCTGTGTTTCAACGTGTACACGTGTCCATGTATGTTCTCACATTGAACATCTCTGAATAGAGCACAGTTATTCAGGAACTTTACATCATGTAGCGTTTTGTGTCCAGTGGCTGAGCACTAGAGGGGCAGGGAATGCCTGGAAGCTCAAGCGCTGTGATCGGCAGCCAGGAATCAACCCACCCTCTTTTACGGAGGCAACCACATAAAGTCTATACGCCTAAAACACAGTCCGAAAAACAAGCTTTTTAGCTATTAGATCATCCAAATTTAACCTCCATCTTGAGTCAGGTCTGAGAGACGACTATATCTGTACCTCTTGAAAACGTGCCAATACCAACAGGAAAATGCTATAGACAACTAAAAAAAATTTGGTCAAAACAAGTTGTCTCAATGGAGACAGGTGATCACTCCGTAGCTCAACTCCAGATCTGAACACTGGCATCACCACATCAAAACATTTTCCTGCCCTCCACCAGCCTCACGCGCTTTCCCCTCCGCAGTCCTGTCACCGCATCCATCATTCTGTCAGTTCATCACTCCACCCCGGGCGATCTGACTCAACCTGACTGCAACTCGATTCTCTTCAGCGATTCCTGCCTGCATCACGTCTCACCGCCAGACATCTGAAGAACCATCCTGGAACACCACATCATTTTCTGGCATATGCCCTTGCATCAAACATACAACACAGTGATGGCAATAAATAATTACACTGATTTTAACTATTCATTTCATCTTTTGAAATGTACCTAGCTCCAATTAAAGCTATTATCATTAACTAAAACTAT